TAAAACGTGGTGGCTAAAATTGAAGCAAAAATAGAGACTTGTACAGAACTAATTCCGATCGGCATTTTTCTCCAGACTTTTTGTAAAAGGAAATAATATAGTCAAATTTGCAAAAGTTTAATGAACAAGTACCGATAAGCGTACCTAAGCAGTACGCATTATCTTTAATTAAAGCTGCTTGTTATTCAAACTAAAGGTCAAATTTGCAGCTATAATTTAATCCCTACGTATACATTCTTATTTATACGTAAGCCTAAGTATAATAAATTGTAAAATAACTGTTGTATACGTTAACCCATGATCGTTGTGTACTGCAATAATTAGGTATCGAAGTACTAAACAATTCCTACCGAGCTGCTTTAACACATATGCAATTAACAGCTGTGATTTAATATAGCTGTAAGTTAGTGCTGAATAGTATAGGTCATTCATGGCAGCATTTCAAATTTTTGAGAAGAAGTATTTTTATCGCAATTGGAAATATTTGCTTTTACAGTTTTTCGAGAAGCTGTTACAGTTTTTACTGCGTAGAAGTAAAAATTACTTAAGAATTTCTTAAGTTACCTAAGAATTTCTAGGATTTCCTAAGTAAATTCATAGGAATTTTCTCAAAAATACTTTCGTCGTTAAGAAAAAAGTAGGAAATTTCCTAGGAATTTCTAGGAAATAATTTCGTTTTTCTAGAAATTCCTAGGAAATTAAAGGAAGTCCTAGGAGAATTTTCTACTTTTTCCTTGAAATTCCTACGTAAAGTAACAGGAATTCCAAAGAATTACTTTCTGCCAGGCTTTTAACACCCAATAAATGGTGAAGGATTTCTCGTCATGCAGACCTTGATAAAAGACCTACTATTCTTAGGAATTTCTAAAATGTATAGCAATACCTAAGAATCGCAGAAAATTAATTCTTTTAAAGTTCTTAAAAATTCCTACGATCTTTAGTAATTCCTTAAAATTCATAGTAATTTCTAAGAATTACTATAAGTTCCTAGGAATTTTCTAGGAATTTCTACAACTTCCTAATTTTCTTAGGAATTTTTCAAAAAATATTTTTGCGAATCGCAATTATTACAAAAAAAATATATCTCCTATGAATTTCTAAAAAAATTAGGAATTCCTAGATTTACTAGGAATTACTTTTAAAAACTAAGGAAGTTTGGGCCATAATGATAGGAAGTCTAAGGAATTTTTTTAGGAAATCGCAGAAAACTTTCTAGGAATTCCTAAGAAAAGTTCCTAGGAATTCCGTCTGCCAGATGATCTTCACCCAACTTGCTGTATTGACTGGGATAGTTATGATCGCAAGATTAAAATTTTTACAGAGATAGACCTGAGCAATGCCTTAGTATCTGGTGAATATAATAGGTAAAAGAGGATAGCCAGCTGTGCCGTATCTGACAAATTGTCAAGTTTGTAGCTCTTTCCAGCATTTCCCATTTTTAATTAAGAACACCTCTGGTTTAATCAGAATTAATCTATAAACGTCCAATCTGGTTTTATGATTAGATTTAATGTCACGTGTCATTGCTACAACAATATTAAGTATTTTATAAAAAAATAATCAAATTTTATTTAACGCTCGATTGAAAATGAAATTTTTGCTTATAAATAGCTCATTAATTAGATATAAAATAATTTTTTATGCAATTAGCTCAAACAAAGGAGCAAAATAGTCCGCAGAATAAATCAATAATTTAATTAAACAATTATTTTTTCTCTTATACGTCAATTGTGCTTTTATCTCACAAATTATTAATAGCTTTTAATTTCGATCCTTTCGGCGTGGCTTATAAATGAATATAACAATTTGTGTACAAACGCTATAAATACTTTTCAATATTCATTCATTAATTTACTCATATCAATTCATCCACCTGCTTTTTCACTTAATTATATTTTTATGACACATTACTAAAGTGATAAAGAAAAGTGTCGTGTACAGAAAACATATATAGCACATCTTCTTCCTTCTTTTTTTTGTCTTGTCTCTCTCTAATGTTCTCTCTTAATTGAAAGTCAAAAAGTAAATTGCTTTTGCTCTTCTTCTTTTGTTCAAAATTTATGTACAAAATTTATACTTTTTGCTTTCGACACCGAGTAACAGAGGATCTCAAATTTGCAATGTCTTAAAGCTATCATAACTGATAAATGATTATAAAGTCATGTTCATAATCTTTAAGAAGATTTGGGATATAGAATGAATCTTCTCCTTCATGCTTCCTCTCGTTCCCTCAATATTCTCAAGTTTTAAATTTTGATATTGCCAGAAAAGAGCAAAACTTAATATCCAGGCAAAACATTGAAAAATTTTGTTATATTTTTCAATTTACTGGCTATGAAGATTAAAACTGTCTGACTTAATGAATCTTATTGTTAATCGAGAAATAAAAGAAGATCTTCGGTTAGAATCGAACCCGAATCGTAATGCATTACAAACTTTTGAATTTAAATTGCTGGATTCTCAATTAAAAGTGTTTGGTTAATGTCCAGTTAATGTTAATATGAGAATACTCATAGGGGTCGTTCACTTATGACGTGCATCAAAAAACCTGATTTTTAAACCCCCTCCCCCCCCCTCTGTCACAAAAATTCTATAGAAAAAAATGTCCATTGATTGAACTATTCAAGTATATCTCCTGAAGGATTTAAAATGATCTATTTTAAATTTTACACATTTTTAGTGCAATTTATCTTACTGATAAAGTCTCAAGAGTTCAAAATAATTTACCTATGCAGCTCGGTTCCATAGCAGTTCTAAATTTAGGAATGAAAATGCTTTTAGCGTAAGAATGAGACATAAAAATGAAAACGAAATAATATGAAGATGAAGAAGAATACAAAACTAATTTTCATTTTAATTTGCTAGAAAAAGTCACATGCAAGCATTTATGAAAATTTTCTTCAATTTTTTTCATCTCTTCTTTTTTCGTGTTGTTTGAATTTGTGAGCGAATAAATCAACAAGAATTGCTTTTCTTATTTCCTTTCTTAAATTAATTTGTTTTATTTTATTCTTGTGATTTTAAAGAATTAAAGTGAACATTATGGCGAGATTAAAAATTTGAGGGTGAAAATTAATTTAGTGAATAATTTAAATGATTTTAATTTATTTTTAAGTTAAAAAATTGTCTTCGAATGTTATAGCGATCACTCTCATCTTATGCGTTAAGACGTTTTAATAACAAAAAAAATCATCATCTTCATTAATTTTTTCCTGATTTTTTAATACTTCAAGTTGATGCTTTGGTTTGGACTAGGAAATTTTGAAAAGTCTGTGATAAGGTGCATTTTTAAATAGTTTGGTTTAGTGGATTATTGGATCTCGAAAGGCATCATCTCTGAGTTTTAAAAAAAAAGTTAAAAAATAAGGTTGCGGTGATGCTACAGGCAAATTCTCAGAATCTAGTGGATTGGGAATCCTGATGATTGGCCATCGAATGAAAAGCTTCTATAGATAAGGAAGGACAACTATATCGGACATACACTCCAAAAGAAAAATACCAGCGAGAATGTCACTGCTCGGACAAAAACACAAGTTTGTTATACCGCCTTTGGTTGGAATCTGCAAGGGAATAGACGTTTTGGAGCTCCAAAAGCTACTTAACACAGAACAGTAATGAAAAAATGTCAGCTTAATATGCGGACAGAGAAGTTGTACAAACTAGGTGACGGAGCCAGTAACAGAGTCAGATGAAAAGTCTTTTGTTGTAACCTAAGCTCCACATATGAACATGGTTACAGTAAATAAATGTCTGCAGTGAAAAACGTAATCGCCAAAAAATAATGTTCGGCGATAATCTTTGATTATTATGTTGCATCAAGCTTATTCAAATGCTTTAAATGACATATTTAACATCCGATATCATTTAAAAAAATTTTAAATTGCTCTTAATTATACTTCCAAAGTACAAGGACATGAGTAAGCATCTCAAAAGTCAATAAAATTACATAGGGCCCGTTCATTTATGACGTCCGACATTTAGGGGGAGGGTGGTCTAGGATTTTGTTACAGTTCAAACAATGGAAATTTTTTTATAGAATTTTTGTGACAGAGGGGAGGAGGGGGGTCTAAAAATCAGGTTTTTTGATGGACGTCATAAGTGAACGACCCCATTTCTAAACTAATCTTTATCATCAACGGTAATTTTACTATTTCAAAAAAAATTTAACTACAGCAAATAAGGAAAAGGAAAGAAATTCGCTCTACTTATTTTTATTAAACATTATTCTCACGAATAAAGAATATAATACAGCATAAGCATGAGAACAAAAAAATATATAAGAAAAAAAATTCTTGAAAGAGAAAATGAAATGGAATTTTAATAATGCAACATTAAAAATTTAATAAAAATACCATGTTGACAGTTCCATTTTCTCCTTTTATGTTTTGTTAAATTTAGTCATTTTATATATTTAAGCAGTATTATAATAAATATAAATAGATCTTGAAAAGATGAAGAAATGAATGAAAGAAATTTTTTCTTCAATGAAATTTTACGAGGAAATGTTTTTCTTGGAAATATTAAATTAAAATATTTTTGCCGGCAAGATTTATTGCATAATTTCCAACCTGTTATGAAACCTACGCTGAGTATCTGTCGTTAATGAAAAATGATGCTTTGTTATTTGAAGCTTTTTGTAAAGCATAAAATTCTGTTTTCAAAGCAATTTTCTGTCTTTAATTAAAAAAAGTTTTTCATCAATCATTAATTTAACGGTGGTGGACCTAACTGCTTCCTACTCCCCAATTACCTTTTGTTGTTTCTAAAACTAATGAAGAAGTGTAATTTGACCCTAAATCTTCCGAAACTGCCCTTTAATGCAAGCTTTGATCCTTTCAAACACATCTAAATCCACATTGAATGTACAGCACAGTCAACAGAATAAACAATCGACCATCCATAAATAAAATTCTTCACAGTTCTATTCATACACAGAACAAAAAAAAATTCAATTAAAAATCATTCCCCAAACTAATTACTCTCCTTTAATTTATTTTCAGGTCTACAAAAAGAAGCAAGAGGCTGCAAAAAAGGATTATTTGAAAGCAATCGCTGCGTATCGAGCTGGAAATTTACAGGTTTGTAAACCATAACATATAATCAATAAGTTAAATTATTGAGAACTCTATTAATTGATGTACTGTAAGCAAGCCTAAGAGAATGTGCATGAAAATTGCTTATCAGATTCCGCCACAGCAGAAATTGCAATTTTATGCAACTCGCCTTCTAGCCATGAATTTGAAATTTTCCCTCGTCTTTCTTTTTGTGTTGGCTTTTCAACCAGAAAAACTCATTTATTATAGAAAATTTCCTGCCAGTCAGCGAAAAGTTTTCCTACCTCCTTCCATCTTTCAAACCCCTATTTTATAACCCAGCACGCACTGAAAGAGCTTCATCATTGTACCACAACAACTCCCATCCCGTGTTCTGAGAAAAAAGTTTAACTACACTCGTGTGCGGTGTACATATATAATGTATGTACAATATAAAAGCCAGTGGAAACTTCACTTTTCTAATTTACCTAATTTCGACATCTCTCGATTCGGCGCATTTCTCGTTTTTTAGACACATCACTAGATTGAAGCTGATGCTGAAACATTTCGGTCATGTTACGCAGAAATTTGATGATGAATTTAGTTTTTATGTTTTCTCTTAAAATAATGACGATGACTTGTGTTTTGGAATATAAATTTCTGCAAGCTCATCTCTGTAAATCATGCATGCGTGTAATATTAGATGCTGGATGGCTTCTATTGCTCCTGACGTCAAAAATGTTTATTTATCCTCAAATATTTTCGGGAGAATTTTAGAATTTAGATTATGATTTATTGAGACCAGGATAGAAGTTTGCTGACTTTTGCTTCTGACTTACCTGTGTATTGATTTTCTATGGAATCTATCAGAAAACTTCACATTTTGACTGCTCCAATTCTTATATCTTTCAATCTTGTTCCTGTGTCATTCACATACTCTTTAATTTTTCATTCTCCCCTAAATTGATCATTGTCATGTCCTTCAATTAAATTCACATGCACAATTTAATTCCTTGCTTTAAAATCTTCCGGTAATTTTACTTCCTCAATTTTCTCACTCATCATTTTTCAAACACAATTTCTCTGTGAGTGAGATAATGCTTAATAATTAAACTGTCCAGTCATTATTCTTCCTTGTGTTTTGTCACTTCTTCTTCTTCTTTGTCTACACATGGATAGGAGTCATTTAGATATTGCGTGATGCAAAGCAAAAGTTAAAGTCGACACGAACTTAGTTAAACATCTAGTGTGGTGTCAGAGTAGAGTAGAATCAGGGATTGGTATTCAGATCTGTCAGGACGAAGATTAGATCTTTTATGAAGGCATGGATTTGATTCCACCTACAAGTAGATCTCTCCGAATAAATTTCTAGCTCTGATCAAATTCCTGGCTCCGTTATCCCCTTGAAAAAAGCCATCATGCTAAACTTGAAAATATTGGTGGCACCCCAAATCAATTCGAGTCAGTTCGAAGTCAATTAATTTTGAAAACGAAGAAAGTGATGGGCTTTATTATTATTGACGTCATTCATTGTGTTTTATAAAAATAAAAATGTCATTTCAATTAGATTGTAAATGTCAATTATGATTTGTCTGTTCCTGAAAGTGTCTTGTGGGATGAGAGAATGCTATTGGATGCTTAAATGAGATTAAGAGATGTTTAATTTATGATAAAGTTGAAGAATCTCTTTTAAAACTACCAGGGAAGCTTGGTGTAATCTCAAATATAGTTAAGCTTTAGGAGAAACTCATAAAGGCTACAAAATGCAATGGCTCTTGAAAATTTCCACTAAATCCCAAATCAACAAAGCTTCACCTTCAAGATTGCAATCATAATCGTCTCATGATATTGATTCATTTTCTGCTCAATGTTGACATTCAGTTGTTTGCAACATTTTGCTTGTCAATTAACCTTTCATTGTCCTTTCCTTTCATTTGTTGAATATCTTAGATTACAATGTTAAAGTATATGCGTGTGGATGTTATGATGAAAAGCATATAAACGATGAGATTTCTTTCTACACAGACTAAATGTGCATCGATTTTTCCTTCCGTCCTGTCTTTTATTTTCTTTTTTTCTAGCATTGTTCCTCTTTCATTGTTAAGTCCATTTAGCTTGACATCATTGTCATTGACTTAATTAAAGGCAATTTAGAAAATGATTTACGACAGTAATGAAGAAATACACGCAATCAATTTTTATCTTTTCATTGTGCGAAAATCTCCTTTCAATTCGGTTCCAATTATTGGAAGTCTTTTGAGGTTATTGTGAAGTAATTGAGTGAAATATGGAGAATCAATTTGATTTTTCTTTTTAAATGTCGTTTGAAATTTAAATTCGGTAGACAGCATTTAGAAAAAGTGAAATTTATTGAAGATATTCAAGTGCTAATAGCCGATAAAATGACAAGATGACACTTCAGTAGTCATTGTCGTTCTGGTTAATTCCTTCATATTTTGTGCCCTAAGCTAAGCTCAAAATTTGAGTTCGTTTTGATTCTCGCTTCATATTCTTTATATAAGTCATTGATTAAGAGAATCGGTCGCCTATCATTTGTTATACCACTGATGCTATTAAATTTTTATACTCAGAGACTAATGGGGATTATGCTGTACACCTATCCCTGCATCTTAGGAAAACTCTTCATTTTTAGATGTTTGACTTTTAGTTCCAAACAAAGTATATGAAAATCTGCTCTGTCTAGTTATTTTTCTGTTATTGAATAAGAGCTTATATATGGAGCTACCTTGAATTCTGTTTACATTTTTATTTGAATAAATCTTTCATAAGAAATAAGATTGACAAGGCATAATTATGCTTCTTCTTCTAATCTCTTTTTTAATCAGTGCTTCAGATATCCTTCAACCTGCAAGATTGTCAATATAGCAAAATATTTTGGAATTAAGTTGTAAAGTCTATAAAGTTAGGCTCTGGTCAGGCGCGTAGCAAGGAGGGTCTTATCCCCCTCATATGCGTTTTAGTCCGTGCTCTCGCTGTGGTTCAATACGTTTAAGGAGGGGACAAGACCCTCCTGGCTACGCACCTAGCTCTGGTTCTCTGGAAACCTTTCGGTATCTTGAAGATTATTATTATCTTTATTGCAGTCTTAAAATCATTTGGTGCTAGAGTTTAATAGATTTTATTATAAATGCATGCTAATTGCAAAGAAACTTTACCAATCCAAAAAAAAATCAACAGCACATTAAATTCTATCAAAGATCCTCAAAAATAGTCATCAAAATCATCCGTCAATCAAACAAACAATTTTTACGACTTAATCATGAAAAATAGTATAGCACCATACACATCAAAATAATCACTTCGACAATCATAAATCCAAATAAAATAAGGAAAAAAATCGATACAATAACAAATATTTTCCTCTCCTTTCATAATTGAATTTCATGAAATTCCGTTTCAAACGAGAATTATTATTGACTGGGTGTTTGTTATTATCTCATCAAATTCATATTTTGATTGACTGGAAGGCAAGAAATAATATAAATTATAGCAAACAAGAGGAAGAAGGATCAAAAAAAGAATGAAAAATCGCAGAGAGTGGGTGGAAGATAAAGTGAATGTTTTTGCAGCAGTTAGAGGATGATAAATTGAATTCATCACAATTTAATCCTTTTAAAATCATCCAACAACACTGCACCCTAACATTATTTGCACCGTTGCTTTCATTTCATCCCTTCTTTGCTGCTTTTAAGCATTTTTTCGAGTGGAAAAGGACGTTGTTTGTAGAATTTTGATTTTTTTTGTGTGTCTACGTTCGTGTCTTAAGAGATTTAAGGTTAAAAAATATTTCATGTTCTTGATTTGATTTTCGATCCTTAAGTCGCAACCTTATGAAAGTTTTTAAAGTTTTCAGATCAAGATCAATTGCTACACAAGAGTTGATTTTAGACAATTTAGTGATTTTGAGTTTATTTTGATAATTGACATTACATTTTATTCACAATATAGGATTTGTAGCTTGCAAAAGAAGCTAAGCATTATCAAGGCTAGTCATGAGCTGTTTTGCGCTATAATAAAATTTATCCAAAACTAGGGGGAAAACTACTTGATGGGTAAAAAAAGAGAAATGTTCGATCAAAAATGGTAAAAAAAGGGGAAAAATAGTAAATTTCCCATCAAAATTTTTACCATCCAAGTAATTTCCCCCCTGTCCAAACTTAAATAAATCAAAATGCGCCATGAAAATTAGATTCCAAAAATATTCACAACCGTTCCTTATCTTTTTATCACCCTCTCATTATATTATAAAAATTCCATTATTAGTACTTGATGAATCATGTTACTCCTCACTGTGTGTGACACGTCCAATTTCCTAATTTATTACATTAAATACTTTTATTTCTTTTATCAGAATTGTTATCACATAAAATTCAAATGTATGCAAAATAGAACCAAAAAAAATGTGATAAGAATTCCATTCTCGATGTGATTTGCATAAATTTTTATTTTGTGTGTTCTGTTCCACTTTACTTTATTGAAACCCTCAAAACTAACACTCTATGTGCTAGCTGTGAGTTTCGTTGTATGTGTAAATTAAAAATATATGTGACATGATATTTTAATAGGGAATGATGCTATTAAATAAATGGAAAAGCAATTTTCTTTTGTGTCGTCTCCTCACACACACTCGCATTCTTCTCCGATGTTATTAAAGTGATTTAAAGGAATTTTTTTATAAAGTCGCGTATATCTACTATGTCTTCTTTCCCTTTTGTTTATTTTAAAAAGGTTGTAAACCTTTTTTCTTATAGAATTTATTGTCGTTGAGAAAAGAGGATGGTTTTAAAAGTTACGTGATAGTTGTGCTGCATAGTGATAAATTTTATGACGCTTGACGTCAACTGAATTTAAATTTTCAGGAAAGAGATTACAAACATATACTTATATTCTTATATAAATCCTAATCCCTTCACATTCAGTTTGGCAATGAGATTAGCTAATGAAATGTTTGTCAATGCACATTTTCTGAATGTGAAGATGGATAACTCATTAACATGATTTCATGCTCGAATGTAATGTTTGCATCATTAGTCAATGATTGTGTATCGATTATAGAGTACATCATTAAATTTTCAATGCTGGCTAATTGATGAAATTTCTAATGAGAAGGCAATCAGGAAATGGGACTGTTGTGCTTTTGGGTTAGAGCTGAGCTCGTGTTTTGTGTTAAATCATGCAGCAAAATGTTTGAAATATTGAGGAAATAAATGAATTTTTCGGATACTTATAAGCATACAGCTTCTATGTTAAATTTTCGATCGGATTGATTTACATGTTTAACTTAGAATAAGCCTCGAAGTGGCAGTCACTTAGTCAACTTAGTCTAAATTGAAGAAAAATCACTCCCCCTCCCCCTGCCTTAGTCTTTTGTGAACTCAACTGTATTATACAAAAAACCTCCATTAACTTTTAAACCCAACCAAACATAATTTCTAGATTGATCCCTAATCAAACATAAACACTCACGTATGGTGTATGTTTACAAACAATAAAACAAGAAAGCCAATATGACAATATCTTATCGATAAAGGCAAAGAAAACAACTTTTTTTTTGCTTCTTCAAAGCGGATTTTAAAGGGCAAAAAAAAATTTAATAAATATTATGCTGTACCTTCTTTGTTTCGTGCTATTGACATATATCAACTTTCAATCATGAACATTTAACGTTCGATTGACATTTACTTCTTTAACTTAAACCTTTCAATCCTTACAATGTCTTCCTATTACTATTTTATTTTCTGTACGAGAAAAGTTCAATTTCTAAGGTTGGATGAAATTTGTCACATCCAGACACAAACGCACGCATAAAAAATTACATTATTGAATATCCAACATAAAAAAGCAAAAAAAAGTCCGCATACAGATTCAGTTGGAGTGTCAAATAAAATTAATTACAGGATGTGTATTGATATTGACACGATTCGTCGTTAGCTACAATCCATGGTGGATTAGAACGAGCACAATAACATTCTTCAATAATTAAAGTGAGTGTTTACGACATCGAATGACTGCTGTTTCGAGGATAGAAAAAAATTTTACCACCCACGCTTATACCTTAATTGATTTTTAATTATTGATTTTGAAATTATGGCTGGTATGTGTTGTATACTGTAGAATCACAGTATGTAAAAGATTTATTAAGCATACAAAAGGGGTCAATTTTAGATTATTGTTCGTTCGCGTCCGTTTAAAAAATTGCTTATTCGACTTCCATGCTGAACTTTTAATTACTTTGCAAACTTTTTAATGACTTTATTGAACTTTACGGTTGATTGATGGGAAGGTGAATTGAAATTAAACGCTTTGAGTCGTGAATTTAAAGTTAATTTTGGAGGTTATGAATTTTGTTTAATGGATGAAGGTTTAATGGCTGTTATTTTTATTTCAGGAGGGAAATTGATAGGTTTAAACAGCTGATTCTGACGCAGCAAAGATTGATTTCCAGTAGAGTTAACGATATTAATGTTGTGTAGGTTTGGAATTAAATAAGCAATACTAAGCAAAACCGTATTCTGAACATTTGATGACTGAAAACTGAAAAAGAAATCTTAGGTTCAAATCTATATTAGAATTACAATTTAAAAACAATAATTAAATGCAAAATTCATCGAAAAAACGCAATAAATCCTCGAACATGTAATCTCGTCAACTCCTCACTTGGAAGTTGATGACCTGTGGTTTTTCAGTCTCAATTTTTATTATTTTTCCATTTAACTCATCCCATATACAACTCCCATAAGCATCTACATACACAACATGAATGATTATTGAATGTAAATTTAATTGAAATTCATGGAAATGGAAAGAGTTATTTTTTATTTGTGAACATAATATTTCAAAATGAAAAGCTTCAGACATTCACGAAATAATGAATGAGAAAAATTCTTTGTTATCTACAACAATTACTGAACAGGAAATTTACCACACGGATGTACCATACACTGACATTGAGAGAGCGAGAGTCAGTCGATGGTGTAAAAAATAAAGTGAAAGTAAACAATATTTTATAGAATTTTTATAAATAATATAAAACTGTGCATTAAAAAATCGGAAGTGCCAGGGGATGGATGGAATAATAGCATCGCCGTCAGATGAGAAATTGAATTTCAAAAAAAGAATTATTGATTTATAATTCATGTATTGTTTATTTCGTGTCCATTTATGCAAACATCCTCGAGTTTTTTTATCAATCGTCGACCACCTTCAATTTTCTTCTTCTGTTGATTCAATGATGACTGTATGTCACGGAATAGCGATATTCTACAGCTGGATTCAATAATTTAAAAAAAAAATTAAAGTCCAACTGTGCCGTGGCTCAAAAAGTTTGGACAACACTGTCTTAGAGGTAGGGAAGGCATGTGAAAGGCACGAGAACTCAACTCCTTTCGTACCGACTTAGTTGATAAACTAGTCAAAATAATCGACAATTTATTTTTATTGGTATTAAAATTATTTGACTGTTCCTTGTATGGAACAACTCCTTTACTTAAGATCAACCGCTGTCTACCATGTCTAAAGATATTGAAATTTCTAACCTTAATTATGATTAAGTTATTGTCTTTACAACGTAGTCTTCAGGTCACTGCAACTTTGCCGTCATTAACTACCTGAATATGAAGCTTTGATCAGTGAGCTGAAGTGGCTCGGTGGCGGAATGGTTTAGTACTTCGGTACCTAATTATTGCAATACCGACACAGCGATCATGGGTTCGAGACTGGGTATGGGAAATTTTTCACTTGTTCTTTTTCGAATCATATGTACTGGAAATGAGGCTCACAGCCTTCCTTTGTAGGCTACAGACAGAAATGTCATCAAAGGAGTGGTTCGGATCCCACTATAAATTGTAGGTCTAGGTTTGAGTGCAGTGGTTTGGCGCATCCTCACTCGTTAAACTCTCATTAGCTGCGAATCGCCCTAGCGCACCTCTGGATCACAATTGATCTGAATAGGTAAAGGTTTTTTTTTTTTTTTTTTTTTTTTTTTTTTTTTTTTTTTTTTTTTTTATATGAAGCTTTACCTTATTACAAATCTCATTATTCATTGCGGTAATAAATACACTTAGGACGTCTACCTACAACAATCATTTATCGACATATTTTTATGGTATTGTAAATTAAAAATCATATTTTTTACCATTCGCATGTCTCTTACCCACGCCATCCTCTATTTTTAAGCTACAGTATCTCTAATATAAACAAACAAGAAAATTTCTAATCAATTCGGAAAATATTTGCGTTCTGCTTGATTGCAATTTCGGGAATTCAGTTGGATGGAGAGCTGAACAATATAAAAATTAGAGCATAAAACGAGAAAATCCAATTTTTCTTCTTTCTTCCCTCTCTCTCTTTCTACTCACTCTTTATTCATTTATTTTATTTTTCCTCAATTCTCTTCCGCTGTTATTTGCTATTTACCATCATTTGTTTTTATGCCATGAATATTAATGAGATTCAATCAGCAGAAAATGATTTTTTTTTGCAACGTTGAACTTTTGCAATTGTGTTCGATTTTTTTTTAGACAGAGATAAAATGTGGAAAAACATAAAAAGAAGGAATTTCAATTATTCGATGTTGAAAAAGTAAATAAAAATTATTTTCTTGATTATTTCTGATGTAATCTGCAATTTTATTTCCAAAATTAAAATGATTGAGTCTGTAAAAATGTCCGTTAAAATTTGAATTTTGAGATGCAAATTTAAATTTAAATAAATTTATTAAAATTCATAGTTTTCAACCCCTTCGGTATTTGTTTTTGTTTACAAAAAGATCTCATTTTACACGAACCAAAAAAAAAGTTTAAACTTTTAAGCAAAATTAATAGCTTTCATTATTTAAAATATGATATTTTGCTAGAATAATTAATTCTCTAAATTACTCAGCATCCATAACAGCAAATCATTTATCAAAATCAGTATAAATGTACAAAAATTTCATTTTCATGCCGACAAAAAAGTAAACAAACTTAAAGTGCTAGCGAAAAAAACTTCCGTTCTAAAATTAAAGTCACATATTAAGCTGATCGTGTATAGCACAAGTAACATCATTTCAATTTAAATCTATTTTCTTTACATTCTTTTTCATTGTTTTCTTTTTCCTTCCTCACAATCTCTGTTTATTTTTAATTTACGTCACTTCCTCTTTCAACATTTGCTTCCCGTACATACATGTATACATGCTCATGTAATTTTCATGCAAATCATTTAATGGAATTATGTACTCGTTTTTTACTCGTCTATAGCAAGCAACTGAAGAATCATCAACAGTGACAGGATCTCAGCAGCAAAATCTAACAGTTCCACAACAACAAACAATTCAGAATACACAAACAGTTCAGAACTTCCCATCACAAACAATGACGCAAAGTTATCAGCAGCCTCAGAATTACGTGAATCAGCAAGTAAGTTTTTGATAGATTTTTTTTCCATCCTTGAAATGAATTTTAACAGCAATTTTCCGCACTGTTTCCGCAGACTGTAATGAATCCGAATGTAATGATGAACATGCCGAATCAACAGACACAACAAATTATTGTTTCGCAACAGCAACAGCAACAGCAAATAAATCAGCCACAGAATCAATACATGAATAATCAACAGGTAATACATTACATTAAATTGAGTCTAAAGTTTTTTAATTAACCATCCCACACGTGTAAATATGTCTTCTAGATTCAGCAAATTGCGTCAACACAACAGAATTTCCAGCAGCAGCCACTTCAGATGATAAATAATAATGCCAATCAAATGCCACCAGTTCAAATGCAGCAACAATCACAGCCACAGCTACAGAATTGTATTAGAAATGGATGTACAAATCGAGCGATTGTGTCGGTTGATTGGGAAGATGAATATTGCAGTAATGAATGTGTCATACTTCATTGTCGTGATGTTTTCGGAAATTGGATTCACAATAATTCAAATAATCAGCAACAAAACTTTTCAGCCGTAAAGTAAAAGAGAATCCTTAATGAGATTTTCAAAGCTTAATTAGTAAATCATCTAAAAGCGATGGCATAAACATAGACTATGGTAGAAGAGGAATTTTCTTAATTATATACTGAAATAATTATTCATAAGAAGCTAAATTTTTATACTTAATATTAATCATAAGATTTGTAATTTACTGAGAAAGATTTTAAAATTATTGAGGCAAAATTATAAATCATCAAATGAAATTACTAAAAAAATTCTTCGGAATTGAATCTTTTTTAATGGAATCGCATCGAGACAACAACAACAACAACAACAGTGATGAAGTTAATCACAAAAATTCTTCAAAAAATTTTAAAAAATCTTTTTGATAACGATTGAAATGAGAATGTGTTGGGATATTAAGTCATATACACCAGCTGAATATACAGTTTCAAGTACACATTTGAATAAAATATCAGGAATTTTTATAAAAATAAAATAAAACCTTTTTTGGATTCACTCCTTTCCTACCAATTCACAAAGTTTACAAAAAATTGAGACAAACTGCTCTAAGGAAAAGAAGGTTATTTATTTACCTAATCCACTACTGCCTATACATCTGCTTTATTAACAGACAGTGAGCATACTCTGAGTATAGCTGTATCCTTAGAAACCTTCTCCCAGTTCGGGATATTAAGGACTCTAGCGTCCTTTTCAACACATGTAATCCACGAGATCTTCGGTCTTCCTCGTGGTCTCTTGCCATGCTCTGAGTATACTTATTAATATTATCAACTTATAAGAACGGCCCTTTAATCTGCTACATTAACCAGACTACGGATAGAAAATATCCTTAAAATTTAAAATGCATTTCAATATTCTAAAAGAAAATATATAAATTTTCATTATGGCACCCCTACTCAACGATACAAAATTCTCAAATCGTCAACAAGTCCAGCACATAATAAAGATAGGAAGATCATTACATTTTTCATTTAATTAAACTTTATTTGTTGCCATGAGGATTAATTATGCAAAGTGAAGATGAAAAGAAACTTTATTTTCTAACATAATTTTTAAAGATAAATTAATCTCTAAGATGATTACATTTGATGAAAAGAAAGATGAAAGGAGGTGAGAAGGGGAGAAATGTAAATGAAGAGACTAAGTAAATCATTCTTATCGTAATTGAGTGGGTTGAAAAGAATAATTTTAAGTTAATGATGTAAGGAAAAAAATTTTTGACTTTATTTCAAGATGCTGTATGTCGACTGACTTTGAATCATGTTTAAATTTAGTTTCTTTTTAATATTCTTTAAATTTTTAAGGTATAATAAGGATTAAATTGTGACAAATCTAGGAAAATCAAAGAGATTCTACAACAATACGCCTGACATAAGAAGGAGCTAAGATTTTCTTATATTTTAATTGATTTTGTGTTAATTGTGAAGATTGAATAATCTGACATGAGGCGTGCGTATCTGGTGGTTTTCTAATTTGATTAATCCATAGCGTTCCTTGACAAACTTAACACTATTCTGGATTTACCTGCAGATTATTTGGATATAAACATTAAGTCCTGCTAGTTTTCCTCAAGAAACTCGTTTCTAATTCAAAAAAATGTAACTTATAAGTTCACGATTTACCATCACAATAAAATTTGTAAAAAAAACCAAATGTAGACCAAGATTTGAAATACAATAAATAAAGTTTAAAATATAATCAATCATTTAATACGTTCGAGGCTACCTTTTGCAGTTCATCATATTCACACCAAATAATTCTTTTGACTTTCAGATTAAAAATCAAAAAAGATGCCTTATCTCGCAGCAGTAAACGATAACAAAAAATTCTCATCAACTGCATCAGCATAAGCAAAATTCTTGGGGAAAACATAAAACAAAAAAATTTAGCTCTTCTAAAATCTGTATATTCACGCAGATCCAGTGAGCTTGAGAAAAATCGATGAGATTTTAATTAACAAAATTAATCTTTTCCGTTGTTCCATTTTTCTTCCATCTCCTTCTCTCTTCAGCTTCACAATTTTTCCTCATGCTTCCCCTGTACTTTTTGCGTATCCTTTTGCTGCTCCATGAAAAAAAAAAATAATTTTGTATGTTAGCATGTGATTTTCATCTTTTTCCAGCGTGAGGAACATTTTTTTCCTCATCTATGTGTGATAAATTTTTCATGTCATGTGTGAAATTGATTCTGACATGTACGATGATGGCGATGATTGCTCCATGCTGCGTAGGTCCTCTATTTAAATTTTCAAAAACTTTCTACGTAAGAACTTTTAATTTTTCATGTGTGTGTGCTTAGATTTCCATCCTTTTTAAGCTTTATCAGATTCAACTCATCGTGAGTTTTAACATTTAACGGAACTAACATATACATGTGTGTGTATGCTTATCTACCTACACACACACACATACACACATGCACGCATGATAAAATAATTTTCCAACTAATTCAATTCTCCTTCCGTCTTTACCTTTTTCTCTCAATTTACTTTGTAGCACATTTACTTAACCAAAAACAAAATTCCTGGCAGTAATGTGTGACGAGTCGTTTTTAAAAACTTTTGACTCATTCATCATTCACTTCATTTTGGTGCTCCTTTTAAATGTTTTTAATAAGGAATTTTTACTAATTTTTTGGGGGTATCAACCAATGATGTCTATTTAAAATTATGGTTTTAAACCCATTCATATTTTTGTACAGCATATTCTAGGAAGATAATAAAGTGTCACTTAAATTTGATAATTTCTGGAGCCCCTTTCTAATATTTTAAGTATCACACAACCTTAGAACATCCTCTATTCCCTATAAATACTAGACAAAATAGACGAACAAACTCTCTGCTTACTCACTTCCATCACATCTCTCTCACTCTCTTACTCCCTTATTCATTACGGCTCTTTTAATGCAAAAAACATTTTTCCTTATTTATGAGAATTTAATTTGCGTTCCCAAAGGATGTTGATGGATTGTGGTGTAGGCAGAGCAGACATTAAAAAAATCTTTTAAATAAAGGTTAGCGGTTTTTCGAGGAAATCCAAATTTGCATGCACGATATGACTGGCATTTTTTTCACAGAGTTTATCGGGAAATTTTTAATTGGAATGGAATGAGTTGGAATTGATTGAGGAATTAAAATCTTTCTGGGAAGATTGAATTTGTGTGGGTTTTAAGCAATGTTGTGGTTTTCAAGTATTCTTTAATATTTTATAACTTTTAACTTGATTGTCAATTTAATTGATTTATTCAATCGATTAATGAGTTTGTAGCCTGAAAACTTCAATCTAAGCATGTCTGGATAAATTGTTAAAAACTAGATAAAACGTGCGTCACATTAAGCCAGTATTCTAGATTAAATCATTGGTATGAGTTAATAGATCTAAGGAAGATAATAAACAGAAAATTAGAAGGGATGATTCAAGTCATGAATCCAAATATTTCATTTCCATTAAAAATGTTTTAATGCTTTTTGGCTGTAAAATCATCCAAGATGATACAGCAGTTTAATTTAACATACAATGCACGATATGCATTAGGTTTTGATGATTTCACTGATAGTAGTGGATTTAATTGTTTTTAGAGTAATTAGAGATTATAGTTTCCAATAGTGATAGGGAGTCCCATATTTATTAACTCTGAGAGATATTAAATTAATTACAAACTTTAATTGTTACTGCCGCTATTGACATTCCTAGGATTTTCCATTATGCAACAACAGGAAACTAGCGAAGCATTGTTTGAGAACCACTATAATATTGGGTACTTCTCCTCAAAGATGGTACAAAGGTCTCTAAAACAATTTAATGGATTCAGGATCAAATGATATCATTTTCAAATAGAAAGAAATTATGATTCCACAAAGATGAATAATACTTTCAAGGCGCAGATATTGCTCGGATTAGGTAAGCTTCTCACTTTTGGGTTCTTGATTTTGCACAGATATAAAGCCCCTAAATTACTTGAAGGCCACTTTATTTCACAAGATACCAAAGAAACCTCTTAGTTCTTGTTTTCCAGTAACAATGAAATAGAGGTTTTTATTTACTTAATTTACGTCTTTTTAGATCTCAAATCATATGTTTGAAACTTTCTAGGTTATGAATCAGAAAGTTTACTGGATCTTATTTTGATCTTTAAATACAGCAATAATACCGCCTTGCAGTGACCAATATTATTATGGCTGATCAAAATCTTGGTTTTGTTTCCAGTTTCTAATGTTACAACTAATTTAGACTCAATCCTTAATTATAGTAGATTAATATAATTAACTTTATACTATTATAAATTAAGCGTGTACATAGATAATTTTCGAAAATCAAACTGAGATAACGTAAGAAAATTTAAAATGTGCATAACCGTTAAAATTTTATATTCTCGGAAATCTTTAAAATTTTCTACTGCTTCAATGTGACTCACAAAATTCTTTCAAAGTTATGTTTCTAATACGCTAATCAGATAGGAACATGACAATCTTAAATTTCACTAAATCCTTAATAAAGCCATATTACCTATCCTATCTACCAATAAATATCCTTGAAACTTTAAACATAGCTAAGGTACCCTCATAAAATTCACATAAAGTTTTCACATTTAGTTCAAAAATTGTTTAATCAAATTAAATTCCATAACATTTGAGTAAGGAAATCTCCCTTTCTTTATTTAATTAAACATTTTTGTTCTCTCATTCTTCCTTGATTACTCTTTCCCCCTCTAGTATTTTACTAGCTGCGATCTGCGATGTACATAACATGTCAATCCTTTAATTCTGTTATTAGTGTCATACATCATTTTGCGCTTTAAATTCAATTATTTTTTTTTTCTAGTCTTAGCTGAAGCAATTTGATTTTAGACAGGAATTATTCTTGTATTACACGAAAATCCTTTTATAAAATTTATGTCATGTGATTCACATAAGATATGGGGAGATTAAATTTTATGTTCCACGTTTTTGGATTTACTTAATTCAGCTTTAAAGATTTTCTTTAATTATATAAGTTTTCAGTTTCTTGATTTTAATAAAATCCTACAAATTAATTTCATTTAAAATTCACAATCAAGCTTGGAAAATTATGAAACACAAATTTCTTCATTAAACAATTGTTTATGGTGTTTGTAGATACTTTACATTAATAATTTATCTAATTTACTTCCTTACTTTGATCATAGCTACACAATAGATTATAATTACAAACTCATAAAACTAATAAAGACGAGAGGAAACTTTTTAAACACTTCAATCCCGAGCTGTACAACATAATATCACTTGGTAGCTAAATGACAGTCTTAGAAAAGATAATCTGGGGCCGGTTACAAAGGCAGCATTATCAGGAATACTTTTGGTTTGATTAACGACATATTAGGACTTGGGATGGTTCAACAGATCAAGATCTTATGATTGAAAATCGTTGTGTTACACTTTTAAATAGGTTGAGAATGAATAATATTAGACTGTGACTGAAGTAGGTTATTATGATTAGCTCTGGAATCCGGCCTCTGATTGTAATTTTAAATGACTGCTTGTAATAATAATGTGTGAAATGTCCAGCTGGAGGCACTGCGACTCAAATTAGAACAGAATCTATTGTGCCATACCCTTTAGACCTACAGTTTATAGTGGGATCCGAACCACTTGCACCTCTGCACATTGCAAAGACACGAGTACGTCATAAGATCGGATGTACCCTGCAATGTACCTAGTCACAATTCGTGTGCGCAAGATGCCGTAAAGAAGTTATCCAGATGCTAGTATATC